GGTTTTGGGACTAAAGTGACCAGAGGATAAAAAACACAATGAGACACCATCTTTAACCTTTCTTTTGAATGTGAATATCAAGAAGTCTTGGTTACATTCTCCCTTTATTTGCCTGATCATTTTTCTTCTTCGATATTTCTTCAGATATTGTGATTGAAGTGATCAGAAATGTCCCGGCTTGGCCAGGCCGCCATTTGCTGGAAGGAGGAGAGGATCTGAGATACTTTGGGTTAAAGACGGTTCTGCGAGGGATTGTCGAATTTGAATGCAAGAGCCAGAGAGAGTATGAAATGTGGACACAAGGTGTCTCTAGGCTTCTTGCTGTTGCTGCCGAGAGGAATAACAGATATAGGATATGAAGGAGTAGCATAAGAGTTACTTTTCTTGGGGGTGATAATTAACTTATGGGGCCAAATTAGAACTTGGAGAAAGTTTAGGGGTTCTTTTTTCAGTGATGTCTTTTCGGTAAGGTATGTAATGTATATATAGGTTGAAATGAGACCTCTACAAAGGTTGTTGGTTAATCAAAATTTGCTCCTTTGCATTTTGTTTTTGTTCACTGTTTTTGTTAAAAAAGTTTCAATTTAAAGTTATATATGTATATATTATCTGGTGGGTCTATTTTCCATTTTTGTTTGGAACATCAAAATTGATCTTGCCTTTGTCTCATGTTTGAAATCGAACACCACATTCTTGCAATATCCTCTTATTAATGCCAGCTTACATATTCATACTAGGTGAACATCGGCAATGCGTAATTTTGTTGTTTTAAGAAAAGATAATTATGATCTAAATTTGTTGGTTTGGCTATTTATATCTTTAAAACTTGTATAATACTTCCTATGTCCCAAAATATAAGATATTTTAAATTTTTTTATTTGTTCCAATATATAAGATTTTTTACTAGTTTCTATGCAGATTTAAATGCTATTTGATAATTTTGACTTTCTGAGCTATGTATTTTTCTTATATGATTGGTTGAATTATATTTTTAACTAATTAATAAATGTTGTTTTGTTAAAAAAAAAAATTTTCTTAATTCTCGCGCATTTAGCTAAAACATCTTATATAATGGGACGGAGGAAGTATCATTTTCTTGTGTCATGTTTCCTCTTTTGAATGCCAAGGAACCCAATGAAATGTCAAACAAATTTATGTGTTTAGAGTTTTCTAACAAATAATTTCATATAAACATCACTACAAAAAAAAGTATACAGTGATAACACTTTACCATAGCACGGTTTTTGTAAATGCTATAAAAGATAGTACTCGGGGTTTGGTAACTATATCACAACATTAAAAAAACGCTAAGCCTAATAATAAATTTTCCTTTAGAGCCTAAGAGCATATTCATTGGAGTGTTCTCAAGTGTGTTCTTAAAATATAAAATTATTAAAACACACACTCTCTCTTCCTTTTACTCAACTTTATACCTTCTCTTTCATATTTTTACTCAACTTTTATTAATTTTATATTTAAACACTCTCACTTCATTTTGAGAACACTATCTAAAAGTACTACTTTAAGAACACTCTCTTTTCTTTTTACTCAATTTTTATTAATTTTATATTTAAACACACCCACTATCTTCTCTCTTTACTCAAATTTTATTAATTTTATATTCAATACACCCCACAAAAACACTCTATTTCTTCTTTTTGCTCAAATTTTAATAATTTTATATTTTAAAAACACACTTGAAAACCCCAATGTACATACTCTAAAATCATTAGAAGCGCAACACTTAGCCAAAATTTTCCATCTGTCTGCCAGAGTTTTACCCCCAAACTAAAAAAAATACCCAATTTGTTACATAGAG